CCTACAAGTCAGCCTTTTGTGTCTGAATTTCCAGAGTTCAGTCTCTCATGCTTTTTTACATTCTAGTTACTCATTGCTCCTTTAGATGGTTAAGTTTTTAGAGGTAGTGATAAAAACAACAGTCATCAGAGAAATGTTTATTGACTTCCTATCATATTCCAGATCTGTGCAAAGCATGTAACTGCTATTGTATCTCAGTACTTTGAGGACTGTCTCTGCTTTCACATGTGGTAAAGTAGCATGCCCAAGGCTAACCTAGGAAGTGACAGAGTCAGAAACTGAATGTAGGTAGGTATGTCTGACTCCAAAATCCATGCTCATAGCTACTCTGCGGTATGCCTTGCCTCCCTCAGACTCATCAAATAACCACTGAATGAAATATCCTCTCCATGAATCCTTGCAGGTGGGAGACTACTTAGTTGGATTCCTTAGATTTGTTGAGACTATTTGGTCAACACATACATCCATAGTTTAAAAAAAAAAAATCGATAGCTTAGCCTCAAACACTTAAAGAATGATTTAAACAATAGGACAAAGTTTAGGCCTCAGGACTAAACAGAATGTAAAAACTACAAAGGGAGAGAAATGTTTAATTCAACTGGATTAGGTAACAGTCTGACTTTGTCTTTCTTTCCTGGAACCATCCATGTCAATAAGGCCATGAATCAAGGCGACTTCAAAAGTCTTACTTAATTCAAACCACATTTAGATAGTGGCCTCCAATAATTTTGCTTTCTTTAGGTTCTACCATCAATCCTGGGGAAACATGGTATTTGTACTCTGCAGACACAGTCAGAACCACTGTAAACATGGGGTCCTTTTTTACATATGAGCAGGCAAATAATATATGGCACACATAGGTATCAGTGTAAAGAAAAGTGGTTCTTGTTGTTTTCTATATATGTAAGCGGCTAAGGACTGTAATCCTCTGAAAGGAATGTCATTATACAGCTCAAATCCCATCACAACAAATACCTCTACAACGGAGATGTCCGTATAACAAAAATCCTTTCAAGTTTTGGCTGACAGCCCACATACTTCAAGTAATATTTGATGTGAGACTTGGAGTTCACAGTAATGGGAATTGGCCTATATTTCCAAAGGTAAGATTTGAATGAGTTCATCTATAACTTCTATCCCATGATACGATGAGTTGGAAGGATGTACAGTCTAAACCCATGTGTATAAAATCTAAACACACCAAAACAACAACCCCAGACCCCTTAGGTAAAGGAGAAGGCCTCTAACTCAGTCCCTGAACTAGAGCCACCAAGGCCTCTTTGTGGTCTCAGCCAACTCGAAGGTAATAATGGTATAGAGTGTAAGAGCATGGGGGCTGTATGCAAGTCTCCACACTGCTGCTGACTCGCTGTGTAAATGGGGCTACATTTCCTAACTTTTCCTGAGTCTCAGTTTCCTCCTTGGTATAATGTGACTAATACCACCCACCTCCAGAATTTCGACAACAGATAAATGAGCCAATGCATTCAAGCCTTTAGCACAGAGTCTGGTACAGCAGGCGTGCTCGAAAATGTTGGTTCCCTCATCACACCTCCCTTCCATTCTAAGACTCTAGCTTATGCAAACTATTGTCTCGAAATTACTTATAAGACCTAATGGACTGAGGTTAACAAAATGTACTGTCTTAAACATAGCTGAGGAAGAGTGACTCACGTCTGGGGAAAAGACAGATAATGGGAGAAGGCCTAGACCATGCCACAAGTACTTACTTGGCAGAGAAAAGGTTTTCTGCTTTCTTGTTGTTGTTGTTTGCCAAGCTAAGACAAGGTGGGTCTCAGGAGCATGGTGGTTCTGAAGGATTAACACTGAATTGTGAACCACAAGGTCAGCAGTTCGAGCCCACCAGCTTTTCCTCAGAAGACAGATAAGGCTGTCTGCTCCTGCAAAGATTTACGGCCTTGGAAACACTATACAGAGTTGCTATGAGTCGGAACTGACTCAACAGCACTTCAACAACCAGAAACATCGATCTGAAAGCTAAAATCATCAACTCATCAAGCTTCACAACTATAAATGACTTCTAATCAGGAGGTCCTGGTGTGGCACTGTGGGTTAATGGGTGGACTGCAAAGTTGGTTTGAACCACAAGATCGGCAGTTCAAGCTAGTGAACAACAACAATCATCATCAACAATCATATCAGGAGCCCCGACTGTGCCATGGTGAAGCTCTGAGCTGCTAAAAGAATGGTCAGTGGTTCAAGTCCACAGCTGCTCCACAGTAGAAAGATGTGGCAATCTGCTTCCATAGAGATCACAGCCTTGGAAACACAATGGGGAGTTCTCCTCTGTTCTATGAAGTGGCTCTCAGTCGGAATTGACTTGATGACACACAGCAATCATTATGTCTAAGGTCATTTTGAAGAGAGAATTTGGCTACTGATTGAAAGAATGAGTTTACTGCCTCTGGCTTGGTTTTCTGTGGCCCCACTGTAGGTGGTGGGCTGGCTGGTCCTTATTTAGTGACCCCTTATAGCTCTAAGCTAATATATTATACATCTTACACCAACAGCAAAGTGTGAAAGGTACGTGTGACAACAAACTCTAGTCTTCTCTGTTAGAAGAACACGCAATTAGATATTTAAAAAAAATATATGGATAATAAAGGTTCCCAACAATGCCTTAATTTTCCGATCTGGGCCAGTTCGCCCCTCCTTAGGCAACCTGGTGGTCCCCCGCTCCCGTGAGGTCAACATATTGATGCCGAACTTAGTGCGGACACCTGATCGGCATAGTGCACTACAGCCCTGAACTCCTGGACAACAATGCCTTAATTTTAATGTGCTTAATCACACTCATTTTTAGAGATCTAGTTTTCAAATTTCCAAATTATGAGATACTCAAGTTTGTGGTGATAAAATTCCATATATGTTCTTTTAAAGAACAAACTTGGTGATATCTGAGCTTTCACATAAAAATCTAGAGTCTTATGACCATAATTTGAGACAAGGTGCTATGGAGTCCATTTTGACCAACAATAACCCCATGTAACAGAGCAGAATTGTCTCATGGGGTTTCTTTGGCTGTAATCTTCATGGAAGCAGATCACCAGGTTGTTCTTCTGCAGAACTGTAGTTACCAAACAAGTGGTGAACTTTTTGTACCACCAGTGTTCCTTGAGTATAATAGGCTAAACCCCCAAGCCCAAGACCATCAAGTTGATTCCAACTCATAGAGACTCTATGTAGCTGTTGTTACGTGCCATGGAGTCAGTTCCAACTCACAGTGACCCTATACACGGTTTCCAAGCCTGCAAATCTTTTCTGGAGCAGAAAGCCTCATCTTTCTCCTGTGGAACAGCTGGTAGTTTAGCAGCCCAATTCGTACGAGAGACTCTATAGGACAGAGCTGCATAGTATTTCAGAGGCTGTAAATCTTTATGGAAGCAAACTGCCTTCTCTTTCTTCCATAGGGCAGCTGGTAGGTTTGAGCTGCTGACTTTTTGGTTAGCAGTATAATGCCACCAGAGCTCCTTGACTATTAGTTATGAGTTTACAAATTCCTTAAAAGGCTCTAGAAAAGTCCTACTAGACCTCTGTAGCTGTAGGGAACAAGTGAGAGTTCAACATTTCTCAGAGTCACAGAATATCACCTTGTCAGTACAGAAAAGGCCAAGAGAAGGTGTGTGCCAGTGTTCATGTGACCAATTAAAGTATAGGTACAAGCCAAAGAATAACCTTTCAGGAGCTCTTATGAAAAGCAACATAGAAAAGAGACAACAGGCTAGGCAGAAATATCAAACCACAGAGAAAAACAAACTGTGAGACCTACAGAAAGAGGAAGGAGCTGTAAGCAGCAAGATTGGGAACTTAAGGGTAGAGAAAGAACAAAAAATCGCTACAGCAAATGGGTTGAAACAGGAAAGGAGACCAACTGGTTAATAGCAGAGGAGATCATTTTAAAACGTCTGCTGCAGAGCTTACAAAGTATGATTCTCCTACACAGACGCATCAACCCAGTATAATGGTTTCTGGCCTCTACTTTAATAACTGACTGCCCCCATTCTCATCTCAAAATGGTGGCAAGAACAATCACCAGATTGTGCACTTGAATCTCACCAGTGAGAAGGGCAAACTGTAAGCATTTTTTAAGGCGTGCTAACTGTTTCAAGCCACTAGGGCACTTCCAAGGAGCTCTGGTGGAGCAGTGGTTAAGACCTGGACTACTAACCCGAAGGTCAGAGGTTAGAACCCACTAGAAGCTCTGCAACACTGCTGTCCATTTGGTAAAGATGACAGCCTATGAAACCCTAGGGGACAGTTCTACTCTGTACTATATATAGGGTTACAAAGAGGGGAAATCAACTCCTCTCCAACAGTATTTTTTAGGGTACTACCTCCTCTGGCCATTCAGTTAACGGCCCCCACCTAAACCTCAAGAATCATGTCCCTTCTAAAAGTGAGTGCTTGGCTCCCTCACACCAGTGGCATCACAGTAATTGTTTATAAGACATTTTGAGACCTCTACAGGCTACGTCAAAGTGAAATGCAATTTTAAATTACAAGGGCAATAAAGGGAAGGTAGGCGCAGAAAGAGTTAGCTCAAGGAATAAACGGCTGAGAAATGCTATTCCTCAGAGAGGCAATTCCTCGCCCTAGACGAGCCTAGAAAGTGACCTCACGGTAGCAATCACGCGCCTGAAGAGAGGCGCGGCAGCACCTCCGCGAGTTCCCGCTTCATCACCACACGCCCGCCTGCCTGCCTGCCTGCCTGCTTGCTAGGCTCAGGCTGGCTCCTCCTTCCTGGTCCAGCCGGCCAGTCCCACCTGTCCCACCTGTGCCGGGTGGGGACGCAGGGAGGAGGCCGGGGTGAGCCTGTGCGGGTAACCTGTCCTCTCTCCCATGGCCCAGACTCTCTCTCAGGAGGCTCTGCCTTGAGAGATTAGGGCGGCACGCAGCAGCCCCCTGATGCGCAGCGGTGCCGGCAGTCACGCCCACGAGTACTGAAAGCCCCCCACCCCATGCACCCCAGCAGTCTGTACCTTTACTCTGGGGAGGGTTCTGACTCCGGTCCCGGAGGACGTTGATCTGGTAGACGGCTCCATAAGGCTCAAAAAGTTCTTTCAGCTCCTTTTCTGACCACGACCTGGGGATCTGTCCGACAAACATCTTAATGGCATCTGGGTCTGGTTGGTCTGAGTGATCCAAAGCTCCGTTCATCTTGTTGGCTGTGCCGTTACTGTCAAAAACGGAACCAGGAGGCAGAGTTAGGGCTGCACGGTGAGGGACAGGAAGAAAAAAAAATAGTGGGGGTGGGGGCTGGGGAGGCGGAAGGAGGAGGATGAGGAGCACGGGGAAAGTGCCTAATGAGTCGTAGAAATTTTATGAACTAAAAACAAAGCAGAGGCACCATTACGTAGCTCGTCGGCGAGGCTTTCACTGCAGGCTGCTGTTCAGCATCGCCGCCCGAGCACAGGGCAGCGCCCCGCCGGCTGTCACCCAGGGCGTGGACATCTCTAAGGCCCGGCAGAGGAAGCAGCTGCAAGTTAAGTGCAGGTTTCCCTCTGCAAGGCTGCCATCAATGCATTGGTCGTGATGGTGGAGGTGGCAGCGGCAGCGTTATCAGCTCTACGCTGGCTCTAAAGCGAAAGGCAGGGCTGGATTTCTGCCGGATCCCCTCACCCATCCCACCCCGCCTTTGGAGCTTTTTTGGAAGAGAGGAGAGAGGTGGTAATAATAAAGTCACATGAAAAGAAAATGAAACACTTGGCAGTCCGTCAGATGACTAATGCAAGATGCTGGTGATGAATTTGCAGAGTGCGCGAGGCATCCATGTGTGCATCAAACGAGTATGTTGTTGCTGCTCAGAATGGAAAGCGCTCCAGCTATGCGGCTCCGTGCAGCTGATTGGCTGCCCCCGCTAGAGAAAAGGACTTGGAGTGCTGAGGGGGCTCCCGTTTAAAAAGGACATTGTTTATGGGACCCGGGCACAAAGGGTACAATTCAGAGAGGCAAAGATCTCAGAATTGCCTGCTTTGTGTCTGGGGAAAAAAATTACAGCCCCAGAAAGTTGAGTTCCCGCTAAAGGACACTGAATATTTCAAATCTTTCACACTCCATAAATTACTCTCTGTATATCTGACTTCCAGATGTTGCACTTGAGTTCTAAACAATCACACGTTTGCAAGAAGGGGTGGGGGGAGGGGGAGGGTCTGTCTTTGCTTCTCCTAGCTTCAGTAAATATTTGGGGCTGATACTAAAAGCTAAACCTTCTTCAACCCTGTTTCTTAAAACCCCCGTCTGGGTTTCCAACCTACAATTCTAGTCACCATCATTTAAGAGTTCCGTATTTTACTTGTATCACCTCTATTTAATAAGCAGCAGCAAGTATAAAGCAACACCACATACTCTCCTAGGCTCTCCCTCCTCACCATTTCACCCCAGACCCACTTACTCTAAGTGACAAAGCTGAAAGCCCCCTGAGTAGTGTTTGTCTGTAAGTCTGTGCTCTTGGTTGAATTCCTCAGTCTATGAGAATACAACTTACCTAAGCAAGCTGGATAACATACCTGCAAGAGCAAGCCCAGCAGACAGCATCAACAGTCTCCTCTACCACCACCTCCCCCACACCAGCCCAAGAAAAAGAAGGTCAGAGAAGGGCCACACTGACAAAAACTTCACTGCAAATGGCAGGTGTAATTTCCCCATGGCCTCAGGGTAATAGTAAGATGGCATCCAAAGATCTTAAGCAGAGTTCTTTATTTGGTTAAGATAAAGAGAATGATGTCAGATATTCTTCATGAGGTCCTGGCTTCCATTTCTCCTCCTCCTTGTATCCCTATTTTACCATTGTGTTATTTTATTCTTGAGATAAACACTCAGACTATGCCTAACTTGAAGCACTTTCATAGCTTTCTCTAATCAACCTTATTGTTATAAAAGTGCTCTGCTGAATAAAATATTGAGCACAGAATCTTCTTTCAACAATTTAGGTATAACATGATGCTTGTTTATATTAGAGTCAGATCATTTATCTTGTTCTTATGCACCCATACTTCGTTGCAAATTGCTCTCTTTGAGTTCAATAAGCACTCTAACCTTGTGGGGCTGTGACTTGAGCTGGGTGGAGGTGGCAGGGCCCCATGCAGTATAGAAATGTAATGTTCACAGCATAGAGAGTTGAGAGTGTAGCAAGACTTATTTCTGGGACAGGAAGAACGTGTGGTTAGTGCTGTTGAAAATCAGCTAGTCTGAAAAGAGGAAGGCATTGCCACAGGTCTCAGCTGAGAACGGAAGTTTAAAAAAAAAAAAATGAGGCTGTTACATGTTGTCTATATAGAGCACAATTAACACAATGTGGAGGAGTTAGAAGTCAGCATTCTAGCTCTAAATATCTAAACTTCAGATTCTAGAGCAGACACTCCTAAATGTCTCTCAGAATGAAAGGCTGTTTTTACTTTCCCCTAAAAGTACAAACTGGCCAAGGTGCAGGAATGAAGGAAAACTGAAAAAAGGGGCTTATGCCTTGCTCTTCTGGTCTTTATGTTGGCATGTGTCAGTGAGTGGGTATTAACAATCCTTCTTCCACCAATCATCTTTCCTAAGTGTCTGGAGATCTCTTATCATCCTTAGATAGTACAGGGGCTAATGTCATGGCCTCTGGGGTCAGTCATCCCGGGTCTGAATCCTGGCACCATCATTTCCTAACTATACCCCTCTCTAGGCCTCAGGATCTTCATCTGTAAAATGAAAATATCAGCCTTTATCTCACAGGCATGTGCTTATTGGTACAGGGACTGGCTCAGAATAACTGCTCTTGGAGTAAATGTTAGCTACTTCTACTATCAATTCCTTCTGTGAACTTGTGATGTACTTGAAATGAATACCCCTCACAAGACTACTTCTCAATCCAGAGTTCTTCCAAGTTCAAACTCAACCACAGTTCGTACCCTAAATAATTACGATACGCATTTTGTGGTTCCTACTGTGTGCCATCGAGTTGGTTTTGACTCATAGGCCCTGGATAGAGTTTCTGAGAGTGGCTGGAGGGTTTGAACTATTACTGATACCACACTTGCAGTTACCACACTTAAGAGTTTAGTGCTTATCCTATTGACTACTTATATGATAGATACTGTGCTATCTGCTTTACATACATCATTTCTAATCCTTAGAACAAGGCTACAAGAAATTATTCTTTTTCTTGATAGACGTATCTGAGAAATAAGTTCCTTTCCTAAGGTTAACCATGAGTCATAGCAACCCCGTGGATGCCACAGGAAAGAATGGCATATACGGATGCCATAGAAGCATAAAATGGCATACAGAGATTCCACAGAAGTGGTCCATAGGTTTTTGTTATTTTTTAAAAAAATGTTTTATTGTGAATTATGTGATAGTTTACATGAGAGAACATTAGTTTTACATTCATCCTATCGTATATATCGTTTCATTGCCATGGTTACAATCCTCTCCATGCATCATCAACCAACCAAAGGGTATACCCTGCAAGCCTGTCCCATTCCCCCCTCCCCCCCCCAGGTCATCAGCACACAGCCCCTTCTCCCTCTCTGGGTCTAAATCCTTAGGTTTTTTAAGGGGTGATTTTTTTCACAGGTAGATCACCAGGCCTTTCTTCCAAAGCACCTGTGGGTAGACTGAAACCTCCTTATCTTTTCGTTAGTAGCCAGGTACTTTAGCAGCTTATAAAGGACTCCTAAGGTTATCAATCTAAACAGTCAAACCTGAGAAAACTAGAATTTGTGTAAGGCAGAAAGAAACCTGTCAAAGAAAGAAAACATAAATATGCTCCACTAAAACAAGCAAGAGTAAAGTGATAAGGTCCCACTCGATCAAAGGTGGAAAACTTTTGAGACCCAGAAAAATAAAACAGCCTCATCCATTTCCAGCTCTCAAAAGTGTCACTATAAATAAATATTAGAAGAAGAATTCAAACCCAGACCCACTGGCTTTAAAGCTCAAGATATTTCTAATCTATCAAGTGGCTACGTGTTGTATCAGGCCTGCTTTAGGCTTACAGTGAGCAGTTTATAGCAAACCCATTGAAAGAAAAGTCCAATAGCAAATCTTACTGGGTCCCTGAATTGCATTGCCAAACAAAAGACAACAGCTAAAAGAAACTTCCTCTTTCTCTCTCTGTAGAGGAGGGTGCAAAGCGCTGAATGAAGAGTCCTTTAAGATCATTTTGAAGCCCATTTTTTTCTCAATAGTCACATAAGTTGTCTCCATCCTCATAAATTCCTTGCCTCTCATTCCTAACTACATCCCTTCCCCACGACTTGGCTAACTTCATGAAGGAAAGGTTTTTATCAATTGCTCGCATCATGACAATCCCTTGCTTAGGAAAACCCGATAAAGTCTAATTGTTCTGTGGATGGAAGTTTACAGGCTAGGAGTTTACAAGCCTAGTGGTAAGGAACGTAATTAGAAAAGGATAGAGAGAATGACAGTACAACATTGATTGTATTCAACGTCACTGATCTGTGTATATAGAAATTGTTGAAACACTCTCTTTGGTTGTGTATACTGTCACAAAAACTTAACAATAACAAAATCTTCTTGATCAAAAGCTTCTGTACACAATTGGCAGCTCCCAGTGTTGCTGAATCCCATCCTCCCAATCTGATAATTCTGCAACAGTTTAGTTAATCTTCCTCCTGACAATCCCAAACTCCTCCTCTTTTGGAATCTCAACTTTCTTCCTGGCTGGTGCTCATTTCTAGTAGAGACTCACTGACTTCTTTAGTCCTCCTGGGGCTGCTGGTGCTGACACTTCTAAGCATGCCAGAAACGATGTATCCAACAGTTAAACCTTTGGGGGTACTTACCAGAGGCCACAAAGAGCCAATATGGTCTTCACTGAAGGCTGATTATGGAACAGATACCCCAATACTCAGCAAGACTCTTGGTAACACCTTGTAAAAACTGTATTAGAATCCATTTATGGGTTTACAGACTTAGATTAGCTCCCTTCTCTTCTTCCCTAGTCATTCTCAGTACACCATGCTTTTTAAACTACTACAGAAATTTAGAATCAAATTTCAACAATATTTATTGAGGGTCCAAGATCTGCTAGAAACCTTTGCTGGGCACTTGACACACACATCACAATAGGTCTACAGGTTGGAATCATTATCCCAGTTTTGGAGGGGATGTAACTGGGGATCAAAGAGGCAGAGTGACTTTTCCAGTGTCATACCCATAACCAGAGGTGCCTGAAGAATGTGGACCCAGGTACTGTTGTTCTTAGGTACCATTGAGTCAGTTCTGTAGAATGTCTCATAGGGTTTTATAGGCTGTAATCTTTATGGGGAGTCCTGGTGTGGCACTGTGGGTTAATGCGTCAGCTTGCAAAGCCATTTGAACTGCAAGATCGGTGGTTCAAGCTCACCAATCACTCCTCAGAAACCCTATACAGGGTAGCTATGGGTCGGAACCGACTCGATGGCACTTAACAACAACAACAACAAATCTTTATGGGGGTAGACTGCCAAGTCATTTGGTTAGTAGTCAAATACCTAACCTTTGTGCTATCATAGTCCCTTATGTACACAGATACTAAGACTT